ACGTGATACGGGTCTGACCAGCACTCGACTCTCTTTCCATATGTATTCAGAGTGGCTGGACTTTTCCGTCGTGACTCAATTCCAACCTTTTGTTGCCAAACACATTGCCTTGGAGTAAACTTAGCGCTTAAGTGGACCCATGCTTACCTCCTCTTAAAGGAGGATAGTTCACTATGTATTGATACTGTTTTATGTCTCTGTATTGCATTGACATGTCAGGGAATGCCCTTATAGAGTTTGGAAATAGAAGTTGGAAATATGAGTTAAATGGAAAAGTTCTAGAGGGAACAGATGAATAAAAGGCCCAAGAGTGCCAGTAAATAAATCATAAAAGAAATTAGTTTACAGCTGCAAAGTGATTTGCAAGGCAAATGAGATCCTCGGAATTCATAGCTAAAGGCAAGGGGTTTGAAAGCATGGAAGTACTGTTGCGGCTGTATAAGGCACTTGTGAGACCACACCTAGAGTTTTGTGGTCAATTTAGGATACTTCAATACAGAAAAATTACATTGGTTTTAGTGACAGAGTAGGATAGAGGTGGGAAGCTTAAGTGTAGTGGAACCCATACAGGTCTATTATCATTTCAATCATCTTTGGCTCAGTTTTTAAACTTTGATCAGTTAATAATAATAATAATCCTTGCATTTGATATAACACTTTTCACGTCTTCTAGACGTCTCAAAGCGCTTCACAGAATAGACTGTAAAGTGAATTGACTCTATATTTTGTGGGTGAAATGCGACAGGCAAATGCGCACAGCAGTGTCCCACAAACAGTCATGGATTGAAGTGACCAATTTATTATTTGTTTAAGGAATTATTACCCCTGGAAAAGTGATCTGCTAATCAACTACCCAACGGGTTCCCACTTACTGTTAGGTAAGGAAACTTGCTCAACATTTCAACCTGCCAGGAATCAAACCCAGGTCTTTCGCTTGCAAGGTGAATGTTCTAACCACTGAGCTACAGGTCTCCAGAATGACCTTACAATTAGGGCAAAATTGGTTAGGAAGGAGGCAAATACTAATACGAATTTGGAATGTATTGCCTCAGGAAACCACAGATAGGAAATCAATTCAGGGATTCAAGAATGAGTCCTGTACAACAACAACAACAAGATTCCATTTATAGAGCGCCTTTCACATCGGGAGGACGTCCCAAGGCGCTGTACAGTTGGGTCGGGACCCGAGCAGGGGGGAAATCAGGGTGAGGGGAGGGAAGGGAGGGAGCGAGGAGGGGGTAGAGAGTCGAGAGGGGAGCTGAAGGCACGGTCAAAGAGAAAGGTCTTGAGACCGGCCTTGAAGGAGGAAAGGGAGGAGGCGGCGAAGGCATTGGGGATAGAGTTCCAGAGCCTGGGGTTGAGAGGCTGAAGGCCCGGCCACCGATGGTAGGGTGGTCGGGGCGGGGGATGTGGAGCAGACCGGAACCAGAGGAACGGAGGGTACGGGCAGGTAGGTAGGGGGATAGTAGGTCGGAGAGGTAGGAGGGAGCAAGGCCGTGAATGGCCTTGTAGGTGAGGATGAGGATCTTGAATTCGATCCTCTGGGGGATGGGGAGCCAGTGGAGGCGAGCGAGGGTGGGAGTGATGTGGTCCCGAAGCCTGGTGCGGGACAGTACACGAGCTGCAGAGTTCTGAATGACCTACAGCTTGTGGAGGGAGGTGGCGGGAAGGCCGACGAGGAGAGAGTTCCCATAGTGGACCAGAGTTTCAGCAGCGTGAGGGGTGAGGTAGTGCCGTAGTCTGGCGATATTCCGGAGGTGATGGAAGGCGGTGCCAGTTGTGGTGCAGATATGAGGGAGAAAGGACAGCTCAGGGTCAAACAGAACGCTGAGGTTCCTGAGTGGCTTTGAGAGGTGGAGAGTGCAGCCTTGGATGCTAATGCTGTCCGCGCCTGAGGTGTGGAAGCGCTGACGCGAACCAATCAGGAGGGCCTCAGTTTTACGCACGTTGAGCTGAAGAAAGTTACCTCTCGTCCAGGACTCGATGTCGGACAGGCAGCTGTCAGGACATCGGGGTCGTGGAGTTGAGGGTAGAGGAGGAAAGGTAGAGTTGGGTGTCATCCGCATACATGTGGAAGTTAACCCCATGTCTGCGGATGATGTCACCACAGGGGGAGCGTATAGAGGGTGAAGAGGAGGGGACCGAGGACAGAGCCCTGAGGGACACCACATGAGACAGTGCGGGGGGTGGAGGAAAAACCATTTGTGGAGACAAAGTGAAGACAGTGGGAGATGTACGACCTAAACCACTCAAGGACAGGGCTTTGAAGGTTTAGGTGGGAGGACAAGCGGTGGAGGAGGATAGCATGGTCGACCGTATCGAATGCTGCCGATAGGTCGAGGAGGACGAGGAGGCAGAGGGAGCCCTGGTCACAGATGGTCAGGATGTCATTGGTGACCTTGACCAGGGCAGTTTCTGTGCTATGGGCAGCACGGAAACCCGACTGAATGGGTGGAGAGGAAAGAGCGCAGCTGGGAGGCGACAACTCATTCCAGGACCTTGGACAGGAAGGGGAAGTTGGAGATGGGCCGGTAGCTTGATAGCTGCGATGCATCAAGGGAGGGTTTTTTCAAGGTGGGAGTGATGTAGGGTATTGGTTAGAGCTCTCGCCTCGCAAGCGAAAGGACCCGGGTTCGATTCCCGGGCGGGGTGAAACCTTAGGCAAGTTTCCTTATTCCACACACCTCTGTTTACCAAGCAGTAAGTAAGAACCCAGTTATTAGTCGGTAGGTGGATTGCTTTCCAGGGATAATAATCCCTTTATAAATAAATAAAAATAATAATTTGGTCACTCAATCCATGACTGTTTGTGGGACACAACTGTGTTTCAAACGCTGCCGTGTTTCATCCACAAATTATTCAGTCAATTCACTTTACACTATATTTTGTTTCTACAACATGATAACACTATACCAATGCAAGGATTATTGTTATTATTTGTTATTATTAACGATACTTTAGAAATATGGCCTAGTGGCAGGGAAGTGGGGTCAGCGGAAACAATAGTACGTAATGCTTTACGGTGCAGTGGATTCCATGAGCCAATGGCATGTTTCTGTTCCTACCTTATTATGTTCCTATGACCCTACATCTGCATTGGAAATGTAAAAAGGTATCAGTAACAAAGAAAGACTGTAAAGTACATAACAAGCTGAAATACTTTTACAATACATAACAGCAGGGAGTAATATCTTTGTTGAATGTGCCACTAATGAAAAAATCTTGTAAGGTTGACTGAATCCTGCCAGAATCCTTTGAGTGTAGTACAGCTCGTAACTCACTCGTTTATTTTACCAATGTTGTTTACTTCTTGTTATTGTTGTTAACTTAATGAAATAGACTTGCTAATATTTATTTATATTTTGCAAACAATTCTTAAAATGGTACCACTAAATAACCTGTGAAAAGCATGAATGTTCACTGTAGCAGTAAATGAGATCAATAACAGCTGAAACTTTGGAAAATTTTGTCTTTTAACCAAAAACGCATGAAGTGTAAATGAGCCCAACATTGGACATTTAATAGGATTTTCTTCCTTGGAGCAAATTTGTCACCTTACGTTTAATGAGAGGAAAGGCAAAAGTATGGAAACAGGTCGTTAGAAACAGAGTGTTGCATACAGTAGGGCATCTGCTGGAAATATCACATAAAATGCAGCTATTTCTTCAGGTTTGTTCGGTGATGGGTAATGATCAGTCTCTCTCGGATCAGCTGATTTGTCTTTGCTTTTACTGTCCAGTGCTGTGGGATTTATTTTATCACACTATGTCCACACTGAGTATCGATTGCTTTCTGGAGCATTTTCAGAATTGGAGCTGTGTTCCTGGGTTTCTGCCTTGCACACTGATATGCAATCTATTGATGGAGAAGATGGAGCCAGCTCTCAAAGGAGCACTGCTGAATGACAGGAATGCAGAACAACAGCAGCTGTTACCAACATTCCTCTCTGATTTTCTGCATGAATATGGATTTATCAGTTGAATCTAAAACTAGTCTTGAAGTGCTTCTTTTCACTATGCATTGCTCTATGTACTGCTACAAATTAGGTGTGGTTAAATCTGATGCCAAACTGACTCAGAGGCAAGAGTGAGGTCAGTTGAGACCTTGCCAACCTGAATATACAACCTTAGTCCCAGTTTTCAGCTGCACAAGTTATGAGACTAGGAGTGCACATAAAACATGAATGACATAAACCAGCAGGTGACAACTCTAAGGTCAAAGATAATGATTCTTCAGAGCCAGGAATGCAAAGCAAGTTGAGCAACGCTCTGAGCCAGTGCAAAGCAATTTGCATTTGAGTGATAAGAGTAATTGCTGGTCAGGGCAATAATTGAAAACATTGCTCGAATCATAGCCACCTGAAGATTAAAATCAAAGCTTCAATATCAAATCAGCAGAATGTTGGAAACCCAATGAGAGAGCCCCACTCTGGCCCTGATGCTCAGAAGAAGCCTTGGTTCCAACCTATGGAATAAACAGCACTGGAGAAACAATATTACTGGAGCATACCTAATAAACAAGTTTTAATGACTCAAATAATTTGAAACACAAGTGCTTTAGATCAAATCTGATTCATGGACTCAAATGGGATAGAGCAACTGACAGAGGCATAATCAACCCCGCTGCTCTCAAATCTCTTGCAGTTTTTCATTATTTACATAAACAGAGAAATATATGAAGCACATGTTATTTTCGCAGGACCAAAACACAACCCAACACACACTCTGAGGTCCCCAAGCCATGGCTCTTGCCAACCTGTGCCTATTACTTTCCGTTATTGGGTAAACAGGATGCATCTCTCCAGGGAGAGAGTGCGCATTCCATTCCAACAATCTATCTCTGGAATTTCCATGTGTAGGTGGGATACATGGAAATCAGAGCTTGGTTTGGATACTCTTAAGCATAGTGATGGGTTTACGTATGAGTCAGACAAATGGCTGACCAAATAAAAAATTAACAGAGAAAATAAGAGAATATTGTAATCAAAGCAGCCCTCAACAGGTGCAAAACATTTTATCAACAAGAGATATTGCATCATATCGATCTGAATATGCCTTTGAAGTTCAGAAGATGAAAAGTATACAATATAATCTCTCCTGCAATAAAGTATATTGCCACACTCATAGCAGTGAGAGGTTACTTTGCCAACTGATGAGCAAGTTTATTTTTGTTTGAGCCGATCTGGGACGAAAATATTTGTAGGGAACAGAAGTT